TTTAACATGTTACGTGTAAAATAAAGCGTTAGAGATATTTGTGATCCTTCTATATATCTTAAATTTTATTTTTAGTCTTTCAAAATATTTCTTTTAAAAAATGATCCTCATAAAATTTTGCATACACACTTTTGATCTCTCTTACCACTTGCGACGATTTTTATAACTTAACGATAGAGTTAGCGACGATTTATTATTTACGATTGAATTAGCAATAATTTTAACGACGATTTTAATATTTTAGACCAAAAATATAAATGAAATTTTTTATAAAGACTATTCTTTAAAATAAATATTTTGAAAAATTAAAAATAAAATTTAATATAATTAGGAGAACCGCAAATATATTTAACCTACAATAAATATGTATTAAAAAGATACACTTCCCATCCAATGTGCAAATAATTTATTTAACATGCACAAGAAATTATAAATTAATTATTTTATTTTTGAAAGCTATACATGTAAGAAAATTGAATTAATGACCTAGGTGTTGATTTAGTCAAATTATGGAACCAATTTATTTGGTTTCCCTATAAATACAAATGTGTCTTAAATTATAGTAGTATACAAATTTGACCGAGACATAATCTTACAAAGATTTGTTAGGAAATTTTAGCTACTTAGTTTGGTTGAGTCAACATGAATAATGCTATGTGTTGCAACCTCATTCCACTACCTTTATTTATATATAGATTAACCACATGAATAATTTAACACCATCAATCTATTAGGAATTTGTTTGGTATATTCTAGTTTTGTTGAATAATAATATTTTTAGAATAATTTACTGAAACTAGACATAACGAACCAGTTTTTTTTTTTTAAATAAAATTTTAAATAACTTTTTTATATAATATTTATATTTTTAATTTTAAAAAATGATAAATAAAAAATTAGTTTAAATAAATTCTCATAAAAAAATATTTTAAATATCAAAATTTTACAAAATAATTTTTAAAACTATTTCCCGATAATGTGTTGGGTACATTTAAACAAAATAATTTGAATTATAGGGGAGTTCAATATGAGGAAAATATAATTTGCAAGTTATGCCTTTACAAGCTTGTAGATAGCTACTTCACAGCCATTTTGAAAATGCTAAGGTCATTTGGAATATCATTGTATAATGAACATACAACGAAGGTTTTAGATGTTAAACATATGTGTATAAACCACCTCCTTTATGCCGACTACCTTATTCTCTAAAGCTCTTCTATTGGCTGAAGTTTATAGTATTTTCATATATAATAAGTTTTCTAAAGGGACATCATGTGGTGGAGATGATTTGCGAGTACAACATATATTTTACGTACTGTGTGGAGAAGATTTTGTTTTGTCTAGAGACCTTTGATGTGCAATAACTCTAGTTGTTGACTTATAGATAATAGGGAGATGTTTGATGAGTTTGGCATAATTTGTTGTCTGTGCACCCTTGACGTTGTTATCAAAAATTGTTGTGGGATACAATCAATTGTCGTAGAACGTATTTTGATGAGATTGGTATCCAAGGTTACTATGAAATGGATAAGTAAAGATGTGACACAATATCTTAATAATTTTTAGTTTGGGTTCGAGTATCTGGTTATTGATAAAGAGAAGGAAAACATATTTCGAGATTGTCAAAAATTAGAAAGCGAAAAAGCAACAAGAATGTTCAATTTGGGAGGTTTACGAATTTTGAATTAGACCGGTTCAGTTTGAGAATTCGTTTATTTAATGTTAGAATATATATATATATATATATATATATATATATATATATATATATATATATATATATATATATATATATATATATATATATATATATATATATATATATATATATATATATATATATATATATATATATATATATATATATATATATATATATATATATATATATATATATATATATATATATATATATATATATATATATAGTCTAAATTAATATAAAATATATTATAAGATGTTTATAATATTGTATTCTAATAATCTATAATCTCTTGTAACAACTCTGATAATAGAGAATTGGTGAGTTACTTCCTCCTCTAGAGTAAATCGTTTGATCGAACTGGATAAACAAATATTTTGTCTTTTTTTTTGCCTTATTTTTGTTATATCTTCTGTTTATTATTTATCATTGTTGAAATCCATTTATTTTGCTTTCTACTGTTCTCTGTCTCACATATTAAAATTGAACATTGTCGTTATTCACAACAGGTTCTTTAGATATGTTCATGGTAGATTTCATGAATGTTTTCAATTGGGTAGATCGATCATCCCTATTGTGCAAGGTAAGGTGAGAGGCCCATTCATTTCCTTGTGAATTGAGTTTATTTATGACCATGCATTAAGGTTATACCTTGGGGAGGTATATATTATGTCACCCATTGGAGTGCAATAAGGTGACCCGTTAGGGCCGCTTATTTTTTTCTAGCGTTACATCCACTTATTCATCAGATCAGAGACAATCATAAGCTTATTTTCCATGCATGATATCTTGATGAAGGGACCATTTAAGGGGATTTAGAGGAGGTGGCTAAAGCAATTGTTATCATTCTGGAGACGGGTATAGGAATAGGTCTCAAATTAAATATTCGTAAGAATGAGATCTTTTGACTTTTGTGTGATGATAATAAACTTTGTGGGAAATTTTTCCCTTCAAACATTGGGAGACAAATGTTGGGGATGAAGTTGCTTGGAGAGGTTGTTAGTTTAGATGAATGTTTTATCAAGGGGTTATCCATGAAGAGAGCGACCAATGTTGTTGAGTTAATGTATCTTGTGTTACAACTAAGAGATCGTTAGAGTGAGTTTCTTCTACTTCGATCCAACATGGGTATCACAAAAAAAATGGCGTTAGAATGTGACAACCTAATCATACGGAGGAAACAACTATTTGATTTAATTAAGAGTTGTGAAAGATGATTGAATTCATCGTGGTTGATGGGGGTCCTTTTTTCCTGGACCTTCAATGAAGTGTGGTTTCTTTACTTATTATAATTGAGGGATTTGGATTGTACTCGAGCTGCCTCATACGCTTCTGTGGCTTCTAGGACCCAATCTTGAGTGTTACACGATCATATTTTTAGAGACATAGAGATATATGTTATAGACTTTGATTTCAGCAGAGCTTTGGATGGTCTTAGTCGTGCGATTCTAGATTTTAACCTTAATAGTTTTACTAGCAAGAAAAGTGTCACTCTTAAAGCACAACATGTTTTGGAGAGTTTCCTTTTAATAAAATTGCTCAATACATGAACATGAAGTTTGACATGACCACAAAGACAAAAATTAGTTTTTGGTTGCTAGTAAGCAGCACATACTCATGATTTTCTCCTTGCTATTCTTATTGATGGGTTAAGTCATCACATGTCATCAATAGAGTATCGTACTATCATTAGATATCACCTTACGATTCCCTTATTTTTTATTGATAATGTTTTCCTTGTTTGTCACAAAACATGCTTGAATACATTTGGGAAACACATAGGCTTCAAATATCGACATGACATTATTAAACATATCTTATTTGATATATTTCGGCGAGTCGGTGAATTTGTGAATAAAGAGGCACGTGTGAATTTCTTGACAGACCCACGTGATAGAAAATTGACATTTTAACCAACAAGTGTTCTGGTATACTGGTGTGTAGAGGGAAACATACATGTGTAGATTTAACTGGAGTTTCCCAATTAGTGGGACTGAGGACTAAAAATTTTACTGTGTGACAACAATTTTCAAAGTCGTTTTAAGTAAAATTAATCAAACATGATAAAACGTATTCTAACAATCAACGTGCTATTATATAATTTTCCTTTGATATTTTTGGTGTTCTAGTACAAGAGACAATGATTCTTTTGCCAAGAGTCCAAAAATTTATATATAACAATATTGCGTCTCATAGAACAACGAATATAATTATTTTAAAGTATTAGTTTTACTATTAAAACAAGATAGTAGCACAATTTGTATCTCTGGCTTACACTTTTGTATAATCTTTATTGTATATATCATTTAAAAAATAATTACATTAAATTTAATAATAAATATTAAATTATTGAATATCAAAATTACTCTTTTAATTTATACAAAATGAGTTTTTGTCTTTCTCAAAAACAATTAGATTAATCGATTTATTATATGAATTGGAAGTGGTTGATTAGCTAAAAAGATTTTTATAAAAATCATTGGTTGAAAGCACAAATAATTCTTTCTAAAAAAATGTATAACAAACTGCTCTAAAATCTAACAACCACGCACACAGATTCCTATTCGGGTACAAATAGCATATACCATTTTTTATCCTACTTTGACAAATGATTAAATTAGTGACCTTTGCTTCTCAAGAGTTGAATAAAAAATGTGAACACATAGATGAATCAATTTACACACTCATAAAATTCTAACAAGTTACTGAATTCCATTCAGTTCAAAACACTTTGTAAATGTATTATATCAGTTGGTAAATCCTCTCTTCCTAAAGAAAGATAAACAAATTTTTTTTTTTTTTTTCATTTTGTAACTAAATATCTATGTAATATCGATACTTCTGACCGAATGCATGTCTCAGGCACACACAGGTTTGACTCCAACACATACAATCATATTCAATTATGTATATGTCAAATGTGTGCGAACACGACACTCGTCAAACACTGATTATTGTTTGTGTCTGTGTTTGTGTCTGTGTTTACGTTGTTTGTGACTAAATCATCACATGTTTCTAACTACTACATATTATGAAAATTTTCAAATGAGATAAGATATTAAAGCTTGATCACTTGGCAATCTCAGAACCACCAAAACAATTCTACTTTGTCCATAGTCCCATGTACAAAACAAATCTGTGGTTCACCTTCTCTTTACACTAAATGTTGTCACTCACCAAACAATCAACAAGAAAACCAAATCAACCATATAACACCAGACACTTCTCCTACTCTCTTCTTATATATCTACATTCCAAGACTTGAGAGTTTTCATCTCACTACATTTCATCTCCTAACATGGCTGCTACTGGAGTTCTTGCAGAGATCATAGATGGAGATGTTTACAAATATTATGCAGATGGAGAATGGAAGAAATCCACATCTGGTAAAAGTGTTGCCATCATCAACCCTACTACTAGAAAACCTCAATACAAAGTTCAAGGTAATTTCACTTTCTCTTGTGTTTTTTCAAGTCCTTTTATTCTAGTTATTTTCTATAATCTTTGTACTACAGACACCTATGGAAAAAAGTGAGTTTGTTCCAGTGTCGTGGTGTCTGAAACTAACACAGACACTTATGATTACGTTGAATTTATTATATTTTTCACGTGCTTCATAGTCTATAATTCTATGTGTGGATGTGATTATGTGATTAACAATTATCATGCAGCTTGTTCACAAGAAGAGGTTAATAAGGTTATGGATTCAGCGAAATCGGCACAAAAATCATGGGCGAAAACTCCACTTTGGAAGAGAGCTGAACTTCTTCACAAGGCTGCAGCAATTCTGAAAGAACACAAAGCTGCAATTGCAGAATGCTTAGTCAAAGAAATAGCAAAGCCTGCTAAAGATGCAGTCACTGAGGTTGTAAGATCTGGTGATTTGGTTTCTTACTGTGCTGAAGAAGGAGTCAGGATTCTTGGAGAGGGAAAGTTTTTGGTTTCAGATAGCTTTCCTGGAAATGAAAGGACCAAATATTGTCTCACTTCGAAGGTATATCTATCTATCTTCTCTATATAAGTCACTTTTTTTATTCAGAATTAAGTGATTATTGTCTTGTTTTTGCTTGGTCTGAGAAAGTTGAAATTGTTTTTTCAGATTCCATTAGGAGTTATTTTAGCCATTCCGCCTTTTAACTATCCGGTCAATCTTGCTGTCTCGAAAATTGCTCCTGCATTGATTGCTGGAAATTCTATTGTGCTTAAGCCTCCAACTCAGGTAATTACATCTTTCATTGTGATGATACTTTTCAAAAGCACTTATATGACACAAACACTTATTTATCATAATTGCTTCTGCATAAGGTGTTTCTTCTAAAATGCTTTCATAAGCTATTTTTGAGAGGTTATGTTAGCATATTTTTGTTGTTTAGGGAGCTGTTGCTGCTCTGCACATGGTTCATTGCTTTCACTTGGCTGGTTTTCCCAAAGGCCTGATCAGCTGTGTTACTGGAAAAGGTTCCGAAATCGGCGACTTTCTTACAATGCATCCAGGAGTCAACTGTATAAGGTGATTGATTATATATGATATAATGCTGTGATATGTTAGTTGACAGAGCCGTCTTAAGTTTTCTTTCAGAGACTCTGTGTAAGTTAACTATGGCTCAAGTGTAACAAATCAAACAGGGTTCTATTTTGTCATGGTTTAATTGTGACAAATATTTTACGAGGCCCTTTTTAGCCACGGTTTAAACGTTACAAATTTTAAACCATGTGTGGTAGTCCGTGTTGCACGCCCTCAAATACAGCTATGTTAGTAATTTATTTACCTCAACTCACTTGTAACTTTTCTATGTGTCAGCTTCACCGGTGGAGATACTGGCATTGCGATTTCAAAGAAGTCGGGTATGATTCCTCTACAAATGGAATTGGGAGGAAAAGATGCTTGCATTGTTCTTGAAGATGCGGATCTTGATTTGGTTGCTGCAAACATCATAAAAGGAGGTTTTTCATACAGGTGAATATCTTATTTACGCATCAACTTCATAGAAGTGTGTTATGCTATTGCTACTAACTTGAACTTTTTTTTGAATAAATTTTTCCATGAAAAGTGGTCAGAGGTGTACCGCTGTGAAGGTTGTTCTGGTAATGGAATCAGTGGCTGATGCTTTAGTCGAGAAAGTGAAGGCTAAGGTAGCGAAACTAAGCGTTGGACCACCCGAGGATGACTCTGATATCACACCAGTTGTATCAGAATCATCGGCCAATTTCATTGAAGGCTTGGTGAATGACGCGAAAGAGAAAGGTGCAACATTCTGTCAGGAATACAAGAGAGAAGGGAATCTCATTTGGCCTTTGTTACTTGATAATGTTAGGCCAGACATGAGAATTGCATGGGAAGAGCCATTTGGACCAGTTTTGCCAGTTATTAGGATCAATTCGGTTGAAGAAGGTATCCATCATTGTAATGCTAGCAACTTCGGACTTCAGGTAAAGTCATACAAATATAATAATCGATTGATTGACGGTATAAAATATCTTTACACTAACGGTGTATATCATATTCGAAATTGTTCAGGGATGTGTTTTCACGAAGGATATCAATAAAGCAATAATGATTAGTGATGCAATGGAATCAGGAACAGTTCAGATAAACTCTGCACCAGCTCGTGGACCGGATCATTTTCCCTTTCAGGTGAACCATTTAAAAAACCTATCAGAATCTGTTAATATCACGTGTCAAACATAACGTGTCTGATAATAAGTTTGAATGATATTTACAGGGAATAAAGGACAGTGGAATTGGATCACAGGGAATAACCAACAGCATAAACATGATGACAAAAGTGAAAACTACTGTGATAAACTTGCCTAGTCCTTCTTATACCATGGGCTAATAATAGTAATACTATTTTTATATATATGTAATTGTGATCAGAGATAAATAAGTATTGTTGTGACTTTGTGATAGTTTCTGTCACATAATTACTTGATGTGTCTACTTATCATTTTAATGTTTAGTATCATGTGATGAATGAATCTGAAATATCTTTGTACCTTGTCGACAAGTCAAGAATATGATTTTGTTCCAATTAAGTTGAATGTCAAATCAATGAAATTAGCAAAGTTATTGAATACTTGAGATTTTTTAGTGCTTATTGGTGTTTATTAATGAAAATGAAAACCAAAATGTGCAAAATTATATATTTATTATAAACTTTCCTCCTTTTATCTTCATTAACCTCTTTTTAGAGTGTTTCAAATGGTATAAAGATTATGTTCTACTTTAATGATTTAGGTGTTGGAATAAAAATTAACACATGTTCTTTCTTTTTTTCTTGCTATTTCGATTTTAAGTTTTTGTTCATGATTTTATTATTATGTTTCTTTAACGTTTGTAACTCTGTTTTGTTTTTTCATGTATGTAGTTTCTTCAAAGTTAACACTACTAAACTTAGTAAAAGGTATGTTCATTTTGTTTCTTTTAGACTTCATACATTTGAAGAAGTATTTATTACTTGCATTTTAAAATTTTGCTTTTTACAACTTGTATATGCTCAAATGGGTTTTAATGTTTTAGCTCAATACCAGTTTTAGTTTATGTTTTTGATATATTAAAAATAAACGTTTGTTGGTTTTAAGTTCATATTTGATGCTTTTATGATCTATTAACAGTATTATTGAGAGGAAATCCACAAATACAATGGAATAATTCAATAACACAATCTCTCTCAATACCAAATACAACGACAATCAACAAAATATACCAAACAACACAACACTATTTTAACGTGGAAAAACCTCGGTTAACTAGGAGTATAAAATCACGGGAGTTGTAGACCACTTAATATCTCAACTATAATCAACAATGAGTACAAGCAAGGTTCTCTCTAACACTAGTTAGAGGCATACATAAATATCATCAAGATTTATAGTCAATCGTGGAATACTACAAGAATCAAGAGAGACAAACAACTCAAAAAATATCAAGAAATTTGCACCTCACAAATGGACTAAGTAGATAGACTTCGAAATCTCAAAATTTAATCTCCATCATTCAGAATGTACTACTATGAGTCATGAACACTGTGAAAAATTTCAAGATGATCCAACAGTTGAATTATGGGTAAGCTTTGATCTCGTGGGACTGATTTGTGTTGAAATATGGCTACAGGAATTTCACTCTTCTCTCTACTTTTCTTTTTGTTGTTTCTCACACAATGAGTAATTGACCTAATTCTCTTTGTTGGATAATAATAAAGGCTTACACATACATGTTCCACTAACCCACGTCCATTTTAGTCACTTTAAATAGGAGAGATAGCCCAACAAACTCCCCCGACCGACTAGTTGGAGGGCAATACCAATATGGTTTCCATACGACAAAACTCAAACTTTCCTCTAGGCAACACTTTCGTTAACATATCCAAACCATTGTCATCAATGTGAATCTTCTCAAGCTCCATCAACTTGAAATCTAATTCATTATAAATCAAATGATAACGAACATCAATATGTTTCTACCTCGAGTGAAAGGAGGAATTCTTTGATAAGTGAATGACACTTTGATTATCAGAAAATAATACATACTTTTATTGTTTCACACCAAGTTTAATTGCAAATTTCTTCAACCATAACAACTCTTTTGACGCTTCCACGATACCTATAAACTCGCCTTCGATAGTAGAGAGTGCAACACCCTTTTGCAACTTTGATTGCCAAGCCACGACTCCCGCGACAAATGTCTCCATATACCCCGAAGTAGATTTTGGATCATTTATGCTTTCGGCTAGATCTGAATCCGTATACCCAACCAACATAGGTTTCTTGCATCCCAAGTTTAGCTTCAAATTTGACGAGCCACACAAATATATCATCACCCACTTCGCGGCCTCCCAATGATCTTTTCTCAGATTTGAGAGATAACAACTCACCATTCCTATAAGATGAGCAATATCAGGTATTGTACAAACTATAACATACATCAAACTACCAACGAGTACATAATGTTCATCATACTCAACTTTTCTTCATCCGTAGATAGACATAGTTTATGTCTAAGTTTGAAATGAGAAGAAAGTGGAATGCTCACCACTTTAGCCTTATTCATACTAAAACGCCAAAGGACTTTCTCCATATACACTTCTTATGACAAGTACAACTTCTTCTCATTTCGATCTTGAACAATTTCAATACCAAGAATTTTTTGAGCCTCTCCTAAATCCTTCATAGCAAAAGGTACACTCAAAGTATTATTTAACTCTTTAATTCTTGAAATATTCTTTCCAACAATTAGCATATCATCCACATAAAGCAAGAGAATAATGAAATCACCTTCGGAGAAACTCTGGAAAAACACACAATGATCGACATTGGACATCTTGTACCCATGTTCAATCATCACCGAGTTGAACTTTTGATACCATTGGCGAGGTGTTTATTTCAAATCATAAATACTTTTTACCAATTTTCAAAAATGGTCTTCTTTGCCCTCTCCATGGGAATCCATCTGATTTCTCCATGTAAATTTCTTCATATAGATTATCATGAAGGAAAGTTGTCTTCACTTCCATTTGCTCTATTTCCAAATAAATACTAGCGGCTAGCCTAAGAACCAGTCAAATAGATTGCATCTTCATAACCTGAACAAAAATTTCTCCAAAGTCAACACCTTCCAGTTGTTTAAAACCTTTTGCCACCAAGTGAGCCTTGTATCTTCTTTGAGAAGTACACTCATCTTGCTTAATCCGATAAACCCATTTATTTTTCAACTCTCTCTTACCATTTGGAAACTTCATTAACTCAAAGGTATTATTCTCATGAAGTGATTGCATTTCATCTTCCATGACATCCACCCATTCCTTTTTGTTCTCGTCTTTTAAAACTTATTTAAAGTTTTCAGGTTCTCCACCATCGGTAAGAAAGAACATACTCGTTCGAGGGGTATCAAAAATGAAAGAACTTTTATCACAAGTAGACCACCTCAACTCATTAGAAGCAATTGATTGCTCAACACTTTCAACCTCCTAATCAACCTCATTTTCAACAACGTCTTTCGTAACGCCTACATCAGCAATATCATTAGGATTTAAAATATTATCAGTATTTAAATCCATGCCTTGATTTTCAATTGGAACATATTCGAAAGTGATAAGGGTAGGAGTAATAGTAGTTGAGTTTGTATCAACCATTTCTTCGTCTTCAAAAATCAGATCTTTATTCTCAACTTTGTCGATGTCCTCAATGGTATAATCCTCCATGGATACGACATCACGACGACAAATAAAATTCTGTTGAACCAGATCAAAGAATTGATACCCAAACCCATCAAGTCCATACCCAACAAACACACATTTCTTTAATTTCTCATCCAATTTCAATCTCTTATCCGTTGGAATATGCACATAAGCCATACATCCAAACACATGAAGATGGTCGTAGGAAACATCTTTACCACTCCAAACATGATTTGGAACATCATACTTCAACCCTAAAACACGGAGTGAGGTTTAAAATTTTTATACTGTGCGCAATGCTTATCCCTAAAAGTATTTCGACAACTTTGATTGAGAAAGTAAACATCTCACCATTTCCACCAAAGTTCTATTCATTCTTTCATCTAACCCATCAATTATGGTATCTTTGGAGGAGACTTTTGATGACAAATACCTTGATCTTGATAATACTTATCAAAAGGTCCAACATACTCTCCACTGTTATCGGTTCAGATACATGTGAGCTTTTTCCCCGTTTCTCTTTCAACTGATGCTTGAAACGACTTGAAGGTGTCTAACATTTGACCTTTCTTCTTAAAGGTATAATACCATGTTTTCTTAGAACAATCATCAATAAAAGTCACAAAGTAATATGTGTAACACCCTTCTAAATCCCACGAATTAATTTAAATAATTTATTTTAAAATCACCACACAAGGGTGTCACACGTCATAAAAAGTTCAAGAGATCAAAATTGATCAAGTTATGACTTACCCAAGTTGAGAAAACTTTGGAAATTTCAAGAATTATGCATTGGACAAAGTTGAACTTTTAGGTCAATGGCCTAACTTCTTGGACTTGAAAGGTCTTCCTAACCTTGTAAAGGACCTATAATCTCATTTTTACATGGCCCTGCCATTTTTATCTATTTTGTTCATATTTATTTTAATTTATTTCAAATAAATATAAAATAAATAGAGATGGGCTTTGGCATTTGGGCTGATATTTTGGTTTTCTTAGAAGCCCACAAATTCGTGCCATTGTTTCCAGATTCATCTAAATATGAAAAAGGCATGAAATATTTATTTTGGCATTTTTTTCAAATTTTATAATTTTGGTTTAAAAACAATGTTTATGGCTTGGATTCTTGCCATGTTTCCTTGTCCCCTCCCTCTCCTCTATAAATACTATCTCCCTGCAAGCCAGAGACACATAGACATTACCTAGAGAGCCACGAAAAAATTCCAAAATTTCAACCAAAGTTGCAAAAGTTGAAACACGTTTTACAGGTGCTCTCAATTCAAACTAGCGATCGTACGTTGCTCTTGAGGTTCCCAGTGACCTGTTCCAACCATTCTCAAAGCTTGAAACGTCCCAGATTGTCAGATCCAAGTCATCACCGTTTTGGTATAATCCCAACTCCAAATCTTTATTTTTTACGAATTATTGAATGTTTTAACATGTGTGTATGAGTTTCTGGGCATTCTTAGAGCAGGTTAAAAGCATTACATGAAATGCATGACGTATAGATCATAAAATGCCATAATCAAACCGTGTTAGGATTTTTGATTCATAACTCAAGATGCAGGAGTTTTCAGGCCAATCTAAGGCCAGATTCGTGATCAGGGCAAAATTTTAAATGGAATAGGGTTTTGGTTCAGTCTTGAAACTAACAAATTTGC